GTAGGGGAACACGGCCAGGTGTCCCCGAGGTGGTGGTGATGGGACAGGGGACAACCTGCCCAAGGACTGTGTCCTCGGATGGAGACCCCATCCCAGAGGGACGCGGCCGCTTTGGGGCTGGAGGGGGGCCCCAAGGCGAAGGCATCTGTGAAGTTCCACGCGCAGAGCCTCATCCCGTGCCCGCCCCGGTCACACTGTGCCACCCCCACCCGCCCGCCGGACCCCGCTCCTGCCCAGCTGTTTTCTCCTCGTTAATTTTTGATGAGCGGGATGAGAATTGAGCACGCCGCCTCATCACGGACCCCATACCAATGAGCACCGGTGCCACCCCCGGGCCCGGAGCGCCGGCGCTGGGAGGCAGCGGGGCCAGAGGGTTCGGGAGGCGGCACGGCCGGGGCTCCCCCCTCTGCGGAGTGGGAATCTGCTCCTGCACGGAGCGCTCAGGGCACTGAGTGGGTACCCACGTGCCAACACGCGAGTGGAGATGCCCAGGAATAGGCTGGCAGGGTGTGGAAATCCAGGGATGCACATGACACCCCCCACCCCAAATGTGACACCCCCGGGTCCCTGCAGCGCCCCCCGCCCCAGCGGTGCCTGCGCTGGTGTCATCCCTGCTCACGTCCCACCTGTGGGATGTGACATCTGCTGGAAAAAAAGGGCTTTTTGCTGGATCCCACAACTGGGGGCACTGGGAGGGGGTGTGGGGTGGCCAGAGATGCTCCCCTGCGTCACCACAGAGGGACCCCAAAGCAGGATGGAGGGGGGAGAAGGGGGAGCAGCCCCTCAGCCCCTCCAGACGTCTGCCACTGCCTGATGTGCCCAACTGGAATCACTAATTCCAATAAAGCCAAGCTAGATTAATTTTCATTTCCCCATGCAAATCAGCGCTAATTAGGATGGATTTAGTTCACCTCACAGGGGCTGTGGGGACAGAGGCTGTGGCGGCCGCGCGCCCCAGCCAGGCTTTGGGGGGGTTCATCCTCTGTCAAGGGTTTGAGAGGACAGATCCCACAGTCAGGGGGGGTCAGGAGCCGGGAGCGGGGGCAGCAGGAAGGCACGAATCGATCCAGATGCTTCGTCCCTCCCCAGGACCCTCCAGGTCTCCCCGCTGGTCCCCAGGAGTCAGTGGGGGGACAGCAGGAGGGCAGGGATTGCTCCAGGTGCTCTATCCATCCCCAGGACCCCCCCAGGTCTCCCCCCTGCTCCCCAGAACCCCAAGCTGCCCCAAAACTCGTCCCTGTCTCCATTAGAGCCCGAGGGGTGGCCCCGGGCCACTGCAGGCACACAGAGGTGCCGGGGGGGGACAAGGGCGGGGGTCTCACCACCCAGAGAGCTCGACCGCTCGGGGGTCCAGGGCTGCTTTGCTCAGCTGAGAGTGGAGCAGGGACCGGGGGTCCTCGGGGACCCCTCTCTGCCGCCCTCCCTGGAACTGCAGGGGTGGGGTCTGCACGGGGGTCCCAGCAGGATGCGCCCACTCCTGGGGTCTGCCCCGCTCTGCAGCGAGGTGGGCTCACAACGCTTCCCCCCCCCCCATTTATTTCAGATTCTGCTCTTGCCTCCCTCTTTGCCAAATATTTAACAAATCCCCGCTGCCCGCAGGCTCCTGCTCGCGCAGTTCTTGTGGAGCCAAGAAGGACGCGGCAGCCTCAGAGCAGAGGCGCTGCAGACGGGACCCCCCAGGCTCAGAACGGGTCACCCACCCCCCCAAAAAAAGCCCCTCCCCCAGCCCTGGAACTGCTGAGAGCCGTGCCCAGGATTTGGGGTACAGCCAGGCTGGCCCCTCTGCAGCTGGCACAGACCCCGACCCCGGCACCCCCCAAATCTGAGTAGGGGTCTGAGGGGCTGTGGAGGGCTGGGGGGCTGTGAGAGGCTCGGTGCTGTGCCATGTGGGGGACCCCAGAACCAGCCCCCGGCCCTGGCTGCAGCCCCCTTAGCCCCTGGCTCTGATGCCCCCCAAAATCTGCCTCTCCTAGTGCCTCTCACCCCTAAACCGCAGCCCCAGAACCCCCAAACTCCTCTGCCCCCCCACGCGGGGGTTGGAGCAGCCTGAGAGGGGCGAGGGGATCGCTGCCCCATCTCCCCGAATCAGCTGGGGGCAGAGAGAAGGGGCTGGGGGGGGGATTGTGGGGGGCTTCAGGGGGCTCTGAGGGGCTGGGGGGAGCTGTAGGGGTTTTCGGGGGGCTCCGGGGGACTCGCTGCTCTGCCATGGAGGGGACAGCCCGTGGAAACAAACAGCCAGAGGCGGTGGCTGCTCCTGCCCTCATTAAATCCCCCGTAACGAGCTCCGAGCCCTGCGGCCCTGCCGGGCTCGGGTCATTAGGGCTGACAAGGAGCTGTCACAGTGGGAGACGTGGCCGTGTGTCCCCAGCCCCGGCACAGCCACTGGGGACCCCCGGGAGGGGCAGCTGCCCCCCAGCCCCGCTCCTGCTCTCGGAGCTCCCCGTGTTCCCCCCGGGACAGGAGCACGGCCGGGGGGGGGCACAGGGGGTCCGGGTCCCCGACAGCACCTGGGGGAGAGGAAGAGGATGGAGAGGGGGAAAGGAACAGATAGAAAAGGGGGAAAAAACCAGGGAAAAAGGGAGTGGGACAGGAGCGCTGCCGAGCCTTGGGCCCCCCACTCCGAGCCCCTTTCCCAGGACCCTCCGGGATCTCGATCCCCCGTGGAGGAGGATGAGGAGCAGAACCCCCCCCCACTGCTCCCTCCTGCCCCTCAGGGACAGGATGAGGATCCCACCCCTCTCCAGCCCCTTAGGAAGAGGATGAGGAGCAGAACCCCCCCATCCCCAGCCCCCCGGCACAGATAAGGAGCCTCGGCGCTCCCCGGGGCGCGTTTAATCTGGGACAGGACAGTTATTGGATAAATACCATGAATATGGAAATTGCATTTATGCTGATTTATGGCCGGGGGGGCAGGTGGGGAGCGCAGACGCTTTAGTTTACTTTAATCCATTTATTTCCCTGCCTGGAGATGGAGAACAAGCTCCGAGCGCTGCATCTGCTGCTCCCTGTCCTCCGTGCGCAGCAGGAAGGGGGTGCAGGAGGGGGTGCCCCCACCCTCGCATCCCGGAGCTGCTCCCCCGGGATGATGTATGGATCTGGCACGAGACCGGTGGGATTTCAATTAATTCCTGAGCCTCGCAGACTCCTGACCTTTCATGGGATTCGGAGAGAAATGGAGGTGATTAATCTGGAGGTCAGGGGGGTTCCTCCAGCTGAATCCCTGTGTATTCCATGGGGTGGGATGGGGAACAACCCCTTCACCTGAGGAGGAGCAGGGAGATGCCGAGTGACACCGCGCTGGGGAAGGGCAGCCAGGTCACAAACCAGGTTGGGAGCACCAGGAATGGGAAAACCAAGGGAAAATAAGAAAAAACAAACCCAAAAGTGCTCAGCAGACATAATACGGGAGGTGGAAAATCCCATCCCAGCCCTCTCCTCAGTTCATCCGCCGGGTGCCAGTGACTCCCCACCTCTGCCTGCCCCCCACATCCACCCGGGAAGCAGCGGGAGCTGGGATGTGAGGAGGGGGATGCACATGGAGGGGTTGGGGGGGGCCGCTTCACCTCTTAATTCCCTATTAATTGCTGATCAATCCAATTAGCTCCTGGCTGAAATGAAGGGCGGCTGCTTGGCTGGGGCCAGCTCTCCCTCCCTCCCAAAACGTACCCTAAACTGCATCCCAAAATGCATCCCACCCTGGCATCCCACCAGGAGCCAGCAGGGAAAGGGGCTGGGGGGTGGGAGGCTGATAGAAGGTGTTCTACCCAATTTTCCAGCTGACTCTAATTAAGTTGTTCTCTTCAGCTGTTAAATTAGCCAGAGCCCTCCCCCCTTCCCAGGGTGGTTCCCCCCCTTTCCCTCCCCACCGCCCAGATGCAGCAAATCAGCTGCCCCCCCCCCCCGCCTTTCCCCCCCCTCCCGCAGGGCTCCGCAAATAAATAAATAGACAATCCCGGGAAAATTAACCGTGTGAGGAGCCGCAAATGAGGTGGAAAATTTTAATGGTTCGGCATTTAAAGCTGTGTGACAGGAGGGGAGGAGGGAGGGAGGTCAGTCCCGAGGATTGCCCCCCTCTCACCCCACTTGGCGCCTCCTCATTTCCATCGTTCTCGGAGCAGCAGCTCCGGTACTCGGGGTGCTGGGAATGGGGGGAGACCCCCAGTGTGGGGGTCACACACCTGCTTCCCTCCCCCCCACCCCGGAGTTCCCTCTACCCCTCATTACCCCCCCGGCCGCCCCTCCCCGGTCCCGGCCCCACGGAGTGGGGGGAATACGGGGACCCCTCCGCACCCCCCTCCCCGTTCTCCTCTCCCCTCCCCGTTCCCCCTCCCCCAATTCCGGTACCGGGATGGGGCTGCCCCCAGAGCCGCCCGCCAGGGGGCGCCGCTGCCTCCTCGCCTCATTTACATATTTTTGCATACGGGCGGGCGCGCGACGTGTCGACAGCGCCCCCTAGCGGCGGAGCCGGGGAAGCCGGGCCACACCCACTCCTCAGGCCCCGCCCACCCCGCCCGCCCGTCGCCGTGGTTACCGCTGACGTCACGGGGGCATGACGTCACGGGGCGCAGCCCCCGCTTCGAGCGGCTGTTCCTGGCTCTGCGCCCGCCCCCGCCGCGCTCCAAGGTCTCGTCCTGTCCCCGGCACCGGCACCTGTCACCCTCCGCCCCTATTGGGACCTCGCCGGGCCCCGCGCCAGCCCCGCCCCCCCGAGCGACGGGACGGGGGGGGGTCCTGGTTCCGCCCCATCCCCTCCCACCGCCCGGGCCCGCTGAGCCCCCGCGGGGGGGCACCGGCACCCCCACAGTGACCAGTGACACCTCCATCGGGGGCCACCAGCACCCCCACAGTGACCACAGTGACAACCCCACCTCCCTCCCAGTGATCCCCCCACTGGCACCCCAACAGTGGCACCTCCCAAGGGGTCGTCGATGCCCCCACAGTGACCCCCCGGAGTGCCCCCACCCCATTAAATCCACACCGGAGAGTGGGGGGTGGGCACAGCCATGTATTGCCAAAACCCGGGAGCAGCGGGGAGGACCCCCCCGACCCTCCCCGCGGCACCCGGTGTCCCCCCACTCGGTCGGGGGGGGCTCCACAGCAAGTCTGGGGGTGCCCCCTGCTTGCATCCAGTGTCTCTGGAGGCACCAAAACCTCCCTTGGGGCACCTCCTGTCCCCCCATCCTGCCCCGCTCCTGGAAGACACCCCAGGGACCCCATTGCTGGAGGCAGCAGGAATGGGGGTGCCCTCCCCTGACCCCATACCTGTCCCGCAGCCAGGGCCCCTTATCCCAATCCCGGGGTCCTTCTATTCCCCATCCCGAGGGCGTCCCCGACCCCATCCCTGCCCTGCAGCCGTTCTCTCCGTCCCTGTCCCCATCCCCACCCCGCAGCCAGAGTCTCTCCGCCCCATCCCAGGGGTCTCCCCCCGCAGCCCCCCTCAGATCTCCTCCAGGAAGTCCACGGGGAACAGCCCCACTTTGCGGCCGGTGAAGACTTTGACGTAACCGTTCACCTCCTCCCCTTTCTGCACCACGATCTGTGGGTGACAGAGGATCCGGTGAGACCCCCGGGACCCCCCCAGAGCAGGGGGAACCCCAGCTGTGAAGGGGTCGGGGCTCTGATCCAAGGGCTGGGGGAGGTGAGAAGCGGGGGGATGGGGATGTTGGTCGTGGGGTGCAGCTGTGATGGGGGGCTTGGAGGGGGTCCCCGGGTGTTGATGGGGAGCTTGGAGGGGGTCCCCGGGTGCTGATGGGGGGCTTGGAGGGGGTCCCGTCTCACCTGATCCTTCTTGAGAGTGATCTGCCCGATCTCCCGGTTGCCCACGAAGGAACGCGTCACCTTGTGCACCCGCTCGCCTGCCCGCACCCGGATGATGAAGTTGGGAGGGAAATACCCGACTTTCTCACCGATCTTCCCCTGGAAGGAGGCGGTGGGGGAGTGCAAGGGGGGATTGGAGCCGCTCCGGGGGTCGCAGTTACCCCCTCCCCTCGCCAGGCTGGATTCCCACCCGTCAGGTTTGGGTTCCCAACCGAGCTCTCCCTCCCGCAGCGCTCCGGCCTTACCCGCCACCACTCCTCGTTGGAATCATCGACCACCGTGATCTTCTCCCCCGGCCTGGAAGGGAAGGAGGGGCTCTCTGAGGGGGGCAGTACCCCCAGCCATGGGACACCCCAAGGAAAATCCCTTTTCCTTCAGAATCAGCTCCTCGAGCCCCATATTTGACACACGACACACACAGCCGGTGGGCTCAGGGACAGGCAGGTCCTGCACAGAGCAGCTCAGCCTTGGGAAATCCACAGAACCACAACAAGCCGAACCCCAAAAGCCTTGGGAAAGAGCCCAGGACGAGGCTGGGAACTCACGGGAAGTCCAGGTCATCCTTCTCCAGGGCTTTGAAGCGATAAAGCGCCACGAAATAGTGGGACTGCAGGAACCCCCCTGGCTGCGGCTTCTTGCTCTGGGGGACACAGTGAGGTTTGCAGTCCCAGAGGCTGCAGACAGCCCTGAGGATCCCAGCAGGAAGATCCCACAGGCTCTGCTCAAGGCTTTGGGATGCAGGGTGAGGATGATGAGTACCTTGTCATCTGTTGGGCTCTTCTCAGCCTTCTTGTCCCCTTCAGAGGCACCTGGGAACGGGAGGAGGGGTCACACCTCTCCTGGTGGCGCCTCCTGAGGGTCTCCTCAGCCAACGTGGGGATGCAGCGAGAGCCCCAGGGTGGGCACATCATGAACTGGGGACCCTCTTTCTGCAGGGCAAACCCACCCTGGTGACACCCCCAAACACAGCTCCCTCCCTGTCCCATGGGCTGGGCCCTCCAACCCTCAGCCCCGCGCTCACCACCCTCAGCTTTGCTCCCCACCGGCTTCGTGGCCTCCGGCTCCTCGTCCATCATCGCAGCCAGGGGCTGGAAGGCAGAGAGATCTCTCAGAGAGTGCAGAATGGGGGGCTTTGGGGTTAGTGGGGTGCTGGCACCGCACCAGCAGGAATTTGATGAGAGCCCGACCCCACACTCACGTTCTTCTTGTCGTCCTGCCCCTTCTTGCGCTCCTTGTTGGCCATGATGACGCCCGTCCGCAGCGTCTCGAACACCGGGTCGCTCCTGTTTGCTGCGGGGGGCAGGGGAATGGTGAGGGGGGGTCGCGATGGGACACGAGGGGTTGGGACACTCCGGGGTGGGGATCAAGGACACGAGGGAATTACCGAGCTGGTCCTTGGTGCCCGCGTACTGCTGGTCACTGTACAGGGGGGAGCTGTAGGCTCGGCGGAAGCCGGGAGGCTGCGAGGAGAGAGGAGGGGTCGGAGCATCAGCCACCCCCCGGACCCCCCTGTCAGAGCTGGGGGCACCCCGAGACGGGGGTGACGAGGTTCCCCTCAGAGCCAGGAAATGACAGCGGGGGGTGGCACCTGTGTCCTGCCGGGGGTGCCCGACCTGGGGACTGCAGCCGGGGGGTGACACTCACGATCTTGCCGAAGCAACGCTGCATCTCCACGTAGGACTGGCAGTGGTGGTGGATGTTGGTTTTGCAGTTCTTGCACCTCAGGCCAAATTTGTTGTTGACTGGCAGTCGGGGAGTGGGGGGAGGGTGGAAAGGAGAGGGAATGTGACACTGCAGCTGTGAAACGGCCGGGACAGAGCCCTGGGCAGCCTTGGCCCCCAGCCCTACCCGTGGCCCCCAGCCCTGCCCGTGGTCCCCAGCCCCCTCAGGACTCACGGACGATCATGCGGGCACAAACGTCACAGAATTTGGGCTTTTTGAAGTAATGATCTTTGAACTTGTGGGGTTTGTCATTAACAAGTTTCTCGGGTTCGGGAGGGGGCTCGGGCTCCTCTTCCTCTTCCTCCTCTTCTTCATCCTCATAGATGTAGTAGATGGGTCCCCCCGAGGGGCTGACCAGCTCCCCATTGGGCTGTGGCTCCGGCGCCGGCTCCTCCTTGGGCTTTCGCTGGAAAAGTTGCTTCAGCTTCTGCAGCTGCTGGGGCAGGAGAGGACGGACGGTGTGTGGCGGTGTGGGGGAGGCAGGAGGGGAGACACCCCCGGCTCCTCCCCCCAGAGACCCCCCCACAAGCGGGAGGAGACTCCAAGGAATGCTCTGAAGATGGGGACCCTCCTCCCAGTCCCGTGAAGTCTCCACAAAAGAGGAAACTGTGATTCCTGAGCACCTCATGGATGTGGGGGCGCCAGGGAAATGCCCACCCACACCCGGCTGGATCAGGGTCCCACCAGGTACCCCAGGCCTCCCAAAGCTTCCTGGGGCTGCGGCAGGGTGATGATAGAGAGGGGGCTTCCCCCACCCACCCAAACTGCCCTGTGGGCACCCACTTACCCGGCTCTTGGCTTTCCCACCTGAAGCGGGTGAAGCTGGTGACTCCGGCACTTCCTTCTCCGTCATGCTGCGAGGGGAAGAGACACAGATGGCGTTGGCTGGGGCAGTTCAGCTGCAGGAGCACGGCAGGGGCTGAAGGGGTCAGACGCTGCTGGGTGGGCAGTGCCTCCCCTTCCCCTGCCCGTGCAGCAGCCCCGGTCCTGGCGAGGGCTGGTTCTGCCAGGGGCCGCTCCCACTGCCCGTCCTGCAGCCCCTGCCCCGGCCAGGGCTGGTTCTGCCTCGGAGAGCCCCAGGGCCAGGCTGGAGGAGGTCGGTGCCCAGCCCAGAGCGTGGCACATCCGCTGACCCAGGGATGTGGTGCCAAGTGCTGGGATCCAGCCCCTGGGCTCTCCGCACGTGCCCACCTTAGCCGGGACATCTCCATCTCACCGTCAAACTGCAAACGGTGCCGCTCTCGGCCCCTCAGATGAGCGCACGGGGGACACCGATGGGCATCATCCGGCTTTCGGCTGCCACGGGGGCAGGACCTGCTCCCGCATCCCCCAAACCATCCCGGTGCCGCCTTTGACAGCCCTCCCCGCAGGGCTTCCACCCAAACCTCACTATTTTTGGTGATACCCACGTCCCAAGCCCCTCCAGCCCCCAGGAAAAGCACCGGGAAGCAGCAATGGGAACGGGGAGCGCTGGGGCGAGGGGCACTGCGGGAATGGGGCACCCCGAGGCCCTGCAGCAGCGGGGGTGCCCAGGGTGGGCACGGCCACGCCAAGGGAGGGGGGCACACGCGGGGCACTCACCCTGTGCTTGGAGCAGTCTCCGTGCGCTGAAGAAGCCCCCGAAGTGCGGCCGGTCCCGGGGCCCCTTTGGCCGCAGAGCCCCCAGCCCTCCGTGGTGGGCGCTCGGGGAGGGCGGCAGCAGCCCCGGTGCCGAGGCCAGCGGAGTGACAGGACACAGGGGGACGACAGCTGAGCGGTGCCGGGGGCTGACGCCGGGAAATTGGAGCCCCAGCGTGCGCCGGGCGGCAGCGGGCGGAGGAGCCACCGGCTATTTGCGTTGGTGGGTTGCTGGGCGTGCCAGGGGCCCCCCCAGTCTGGCCTGGGACAAAGAAGGAACCGGGCACAGCGAGCGCTCCAGGAATTGGGCACGCTGAGGGTTCCAGGAGCTGGGCACGCTGGAGGCTGCTGGGGGCTCGGTGGGCAGAGGAGCGGCAGTGGGGTCTCTCATGGGGTGGAGTGGCTGCCTCGCACCCTCTGGCACCAAATCCTGCTGGTGCAGGCTCTGCTGGGATGGTGGGAGCTGGGATCCCACTGCTGCCCGTGGCCAGGGACAGGGCCTTGGAGTTAATGGGTCCCTCGGGTCCCTGCCTGGCTGTGGATGGCAGCGAGGTGGGAGCTGGCACAAGCCTGGGGTTGGAGCCCTCCCTCCCTTCCTGGCAGCTCTTACCTGTCCGGCTGCACCTGCTCAGGAAGGTTGGGAGCAGCCCACTGCTGCCAGAGGCTCTGGCTGTGCCACCCCAAATCCTGTCCCCACCTGCACCTGCCAGCTCCAGGTGCTGCTCCTGGAATGTGTTTCCCAGCAGGGCACACAGCTGGGGCTGCTCCACACCCTCATTCCTGCCCTGGAATTCCACAGCTGGATGGGGCTGGCAGCTGGGAGAAGAGGCCATGAACATCTGTCAGGGGAGTCCGGCCCCAGTCCAAATGCTCTGATCCCAGCCTCGGATCCCCACTTTGGCACCCCATGGGATGCCCTTGGAGATGCCAAGCTCGGGGGCAGGACTGGGCAGGATTGTCCCTTCTGCTGTCCCCTCACCCCACTCAGGCAGCACAGAGCCCCCAGCCCTGGCAGAGAACGGGAAGTTACATTCCAGTGATGAACAATTCTCCTTTTTTTTTTTTATTTAAAAACAACCCCCCCCAAATAAAATAAAACCAAAAATTCCCCCCCGCAAAATAATAATCCGATTAAATAAAATGTGCAGTGAACATACCAATCAACACCTGTATGTGCGGTCCAACACAGTGCTTAAACAAAACCATAGACACAGGGGAGGGGGGCGGGCACGGGCGTCACTCCAAAAATAATAATTAAAAAAAAAAAAAAAAATCAACTTCTTGTCTCTTAATTATGTTCATATAAATATATCAAGGAAGGAGGGCCAGAGGAAGGGAGGGCAGGAGGAGAAGAGGCCCAGGGGAGTGGCCGGTGCCCACGGGAGCCCTACTGGGAGCTCGCCCGCTCCAGCACCCGCAGGTCGTAGTTCTTTTTGGCCACGCGCAGTTTGAAGCGGCTGAGGGAGTTGTTGAGGCGGAGGGAGGCGTTTTGGGCAGCCAGGGGGCTGGGGAACACGGCCACGATGGTGTATAAGGCAGCGAGGTCACTGTGCCTGCCGTTCTCCGGAGTCCCGCTGTTGTCCCCGCCGCCTCCGTCCCCGCGGCGCCCCTGAGTCTCTTTGAGCCACTGGATTTTGGCACCGGCCATGGCGAGCTGGGTGAAGAGCTTGTCGGCCTCTGTCCGTGTGATGCCCTCGGGCAGGTCTGTCACCTCCAGCACCCGGCCCAGCACTGCAGGGAAGGAGCCGCTGTCACCGGCCGGTGCCCGGTGCCCCGTGAGCCTCCCCGGCTCCGGGCTGGAGCACCGACCCCTCCTGGGCCCAGGAACTCTGTGCAGTGCCAGGCTGCACCCACAGCAGGAGTCTACTCCTCTAAGCCAGGCACTTCCCTCCAAAGCTCCCCTACCTGCTCCCTGGAATGCCCCATCCCAATCCCTTCCTGTGCCCACACGCTGGCTCTGCTCAGGAGGAGATGCAGGTTATTTCCCAGTGTTATTTCCCAGTGTTATTTCCCAGTGTTATTTCCCAGCGTAGCAGTATTCCCCACCAAGTCCTCCTGGTGTCCTTTGGATAGCTGGACACTTCAGGCTTTCCCAGGGGGTTCCGCCCCATTTTCCTACCCCAAGCCTCAGGTACCAGGACTGGGAACCAACCCCACGCTCCCACCCTGACTCTGGGAGGGAGAATGGCTGCACCCATGGAGGATGGTGACACTGGGTGTGTCCTGCCTGGTGGTCCCCAAATCCCTCTGCAGCTCCTGGCCCTGGCCTGGTGGTCCCCAAATCCCTCTGCAGCTCCTGGCCCTGGCCTGGTGGTCCCCAAATCCCTCTGCAGCTCCCAGCTCCAGCCCTGTGGTACATGAATCCCTCTGCAGCTCCTGGCTCTGACCTCTGCTCCTGCCCCCGTGGTCCCCACATCCCTCTGCAGCTCCTGGCTCTCTCCTATCCCTGCCAGGTGGTCCCCAAATCTCTCTGCAGCTCCCAGCTCCTGCCTGGTGGTACCCGAACCCCTCTGCAGCTCCTGGCTCCAGCCCTGGCTCTGGGCTTAGCAGAGCTGCTGCAGGGATTCTTTGCTAATATTAACGTGGCACGTACAGACCATGCCAGGGGCAGGAGGGGGGCAGGCAGCTCTTAAAGGGCCCCTACAACCAGCTGGTGATGGTGGTGACACTGAGGTGACATGGGGGACAAGCCTGAGGTCTCCAGAGGGTCAGTGAGGGCTGCTCCATCCAAGCTGTGGGTCCCTCCCTTCCCAAGGACCCAGTGGAGACATCCTGGACATGGGTGGAGAGAAATGATTCACTGGAACCCTCAGCCCTTGCAGCCACCCTGGGAGATCCCAAATCAAAGATGAGGCCCTGAAGCTGCAGGCCCCATGGGAAAGGGAAGCATGGGTGGGAAGAGTGACTTGGGAAAGCAGTGGTGGGAATGACATCTAAGAGTCTGGACACTCACTTTCTGCTGATAAAGAGGAATAAAATCCCAGTTCTTCCAGCTCCACCTGCTCCATCATTTCCACTCTCTGGGAGGCAGGAATACACCCAGGTGTCCTTCTCCTCAGAGGTTTTACTCCCTGTTCACCCACCTCCCTCGGGCACAGAGGGCTGGATCTGCTGCACCCCCAGCCTGGACTCACCTGGGCTGGGGGTTGGTGTTTGTGGGTGTGGGGAGGAGGGACTGGCAGGAACCACTCTCCAAAACCAGCACGGGGTTCTGTGGGATGCTGCTGTGGGCAGGGATGGCACCTGGAGTCTCCAACATCTGTTTGTGGGGACATCAGAGGGCAAAGGAACTCGAGGGGGTCACTTGCCTACGTCACTTGTCCCCAGGTCGGTGGACGCTGATTTAAGGGCCTGTCTCTTGCTCCGGTTTCCGTGTTTCATTCCAGTCTGCCCCTTGAAGGAGACAAAGGGAACCGTGTCACCACAGGGGACACTGTGGCTTCACAGTGCCCACAGAGGGGCCGGGGAAGGGACACCTGGCCTGGCTGTACCTGGTGTCCTGTGTAGCTGGGCTGGTTGTGGAGCAGCGGCGGGGGACACAGGGACAGGTTGTACTGCAGAGGTTGGCCCAGCAGCGAGTACCTCCCATCACCTGCACAAGGAGCATGAATTTGTGGGGATCCCAGGAAACCTCACAGCATTCCCAGCCCTGGGCTGCCCCCACATGCCTTCCCCTTACCTTGTGCTGGGCCCATGGGCCGAGGGAACTGTGTGAGGACGGGGAGGGGGCTCAGCCCCGTGCACACACTGTTGAGGTTGGTGACGGGCGACGGCGTCGGGGACTGGGTGGGGGACGTGATGGGGCTGTTCAGCTGGGTGCTGGCCTGGGGGAGGGACAGTGTCAGACACCCCCAGTGCTTGTGACCGCTCCCACACCCCCGTGGGACCCCCCAGCTGTCACCCAGCCCACCCCAGGGCTGAGCTGCCTCCTCCCCGTCCCTCCCAGTCCCCCCAGTACCTGAGCACTGGTGTCAGGGTTGTAGAGGTCTCCTGGCTTCTGCCCCCGCTGCTCCAGGCTGTAGTACTTACAGTGGCTCCACTGCACCACGGGGGGGTTTTGGGGGGCCTGGGGGCCGTTGGGGACATTCAGCTGCATCACCACCACACCAGGGCCTGATGGGGACACCCCTGGGGACAGACACAGGCGTGTATGGCCCAGGCTCTGCTGCTGTGGGACACAGGAGGGCCTGTCCCTTCCCCACAATCCCACTCTGGACTCTCCTGTGCCACGCGTGACTTTCTCAAGCTGCAAAAAACCCCACCAGGACCCTCTGGGGATTCCTCTCTAACAGCAAAGGTTACATCTGGGAGTGATGATGTTTAATTCAGGAGAAATCGGAGCACAGGGGCCAAGCTGACAGACGGCAGCTCAGTGACCGCTCTGAGCATCTCCACAAAACTCTAGGCAAAGGCTACAAGCACAAATCAAGGAACAAAACCCCAGCATCCCAGCTCAAGTCCTGCAGCTCACCAGGTCCAGACCTCCATCATCCCAGTTCAGCTTCTGCATCAGCTCACCAATTCCCAGCTCACTCCCAGCAGCTGTGCCAGGAAGCAGGAATCCCCAGCCTCCCCACCTGCACTTCTTCCTGCTCCCACCAATCCACAGCCCACCCAGCTCCCACCACAGCAGGGAGATGCCAGGCACGAGCCACATCCTGCTCATTCCCTGTGGCACTCCCAGTCTAAGGAATCCCCTTGCACAGAAGCTGCCAGACTTGGCTGGGAAGGGGCAGCTCTCAGCCCGTGATCCAAACCCGATCCCACCCACGGAGTCGAAGCCAGCCCTGCCCGTGGCCCCCCGTACCTGAATACTGCTGCTGCATCTGGGGGGGGCTGCAGGGCGCCGGGGACTGCGGCATCTGGTACTGCTCAGAGCCAGGAGGCTGCAGGAACCCCACGGATGGGCTGCGGAGCAGAGAGGGCTCAGGTGAGGATGGGGATGGGGAGGAAGAGCTGGGGCACCTGCACAGGTTATTCCCAGCTCCCTCTTTACTGGGATGGCTGAACACACAAGGAGCCTCTGGAGAGGGCTGGGCACACCATGCTGGTGCTCAGGAAGTCCTGACCGAGGGAGCCAGGAATGGCCAAGCTCAGGGAGGAGCAGCACTTGTGGTACCCACCCACCTCCAGCCACAGGAGCAGGGTGCTCCATGCTCACAGCAGGATCACCATGGAACCACCACAGAGAATCATGAACTCTCCCAAGTTGGAAGGGACCAGCAAGGATCAAGGCTGACTCCTGCCCTTGACAGGACACCCCCAAAGCCCCCACTGTGGGCACAGCACCCCTTTCTCCCCCAGGCAGGCCAGAGCCACCAGAGCTTTACCTGGTGCCATTCTGCTGGGCAGTGGGGATGACACTGTAGTAGATGGGGACCCCTCCAGCCTGGAGCCCCCCCTGCACAGACTGGCTGGCTGGCACAAGCACTGGCTGCTGGAAGGGCTGCTGGACCACGTTCTGGGACTCACTGGCCATGGGAACCTGGGCAGGGAGGAAAGCAGCAGGTAACAGGTAACAGAGCAGGGGAAATTGGCCCAAGGAGACACCAGCAAAGTAAACAGATTCCAGGTGTTTTTTTCTTACAGCCCAGAGCAACCTCAGCCAGGCACAGCCCCTCCCAGAGATTCTCCCAGTCCTCCTCCTCCAGATGTGTTCCACAGATCCCCACATGGATGTGCCCTCCCCAGGCTGGCAGGCAAGCCCTGTGAGCAAATCCCCACCTTTGGCTCCATCCCTGAGGCACATCCTGCCCAGCCCAGGCCCCCTCCCAGCACCCCACCCTGGGGAGCAGCAGATGCCCACCTGGTACGAAGGCAGCGGCGTGTACTGGACCATCAGACCTTGCATCTGGCTCCCCATCCCACTCCTCTGGCTGCTGAGGAGCCCAGGGGGCTGTGCCTGCTGCACCCCCATCACGCTCTGCATCTGGCCCCCCATGTTGTTCCTCTGGCTGTTGAGGAGCCCGGGGGGCTGCGCCTGCTGCACCCCCACCACACCTTGGTATGTTTGCTGCTGGTTGGACATCATTGGCTGTAAACCTGCCAGAACAGGGGTTCAATGGAGCAGCTTCCCAGTTGGACACAGGAAACAGCCCCAGATTTAGGATTTAGGGAATCAAATCCTGCCTCTGTCCCCACCTCCTGCTGAAGAGTGGGGAAAGGGCTTCCCTTAGAGCAGACATAAACACACCCAAGGGAAGCTCCTGGCTTTAAATTCCCCTGGCAGCCCCTCAGTGGGGCTTAAATCCACCTCATCCCCTCCCCCAGCAAGCTCAGAGGAGAGGGAGGGGAAGGACACAACAGCCTCTGCAGACAGAGGCACCCCAACTTCCCAGCTAAGAGGCAGTTCCAGCAAAGAGTGGGAGACAGGGAAGAGCGACCTGGCCCCAGACAGCACAGAGGAGATCTCTGGAGCAAACAAAAGCAGCTGGAAAGGGAAAGCTGCTCCTTCCCCCCTTTACACCCCCTTACCTGGCTGCTGGGACTGCTGGGGGAGCTGCTGGGGGCGCTGGGAGCTGTAGGCCACTGGGTGACTGAGGGGTCGGTATTGCTGGCTGGAGTTCGGGTACTGCCCGGGGGAGTAGTAAGAAACCTGAATCTATCGGGGCAAGAAAACGCAGTGGTGAGAACACAGGAGGGAGCAGGACCAAGAAAGCTGGTCCCCCAGGACCAGTTTTCTCTCTCACCTGGCCTGGTTTCTGCCGAAGGGAACCACCCAGGGCTTTGGCTCTGGCCAGCTGATGGCTCCTCGGGGAACCGCGGCCCCTTCCCGCGCCTCCCAGCCTCCTCATCCAAGCCTTTCCCAGCACACAGTGCAAGAGCACAGTAGGCACAACTCTCCTCACAGCTCAGGGGACAATCCTAGAGGTCATAAAGCCCTGCAGGACCCCAAAGAGAGCTTAGAGGTGTCAGCCCTGAGTCCGGCCACTATCCCTCCCCCACTGCTGAGAGCCAGGAGTGGCCTGGGGGGGTTGCAGGAAAGAGCCTCGTGGGCTCTGAGGGGATCATCCTGTGCCTAACAGGGGAGTGTGAGATCCAGAGCCTGGAACCCTGTGGGTGGATCCATCACCAACTAGCAGCAGAAAAAGAGGGACCCACTCCCCAGCAGCCCCAGGCCTGCCAGCTCTGGGGATGTCCCCTCGTGTCCTTACTTGCTGGGGAGGCTGAATGTAGCCCTGGGGCTGCAGCACCTGCTGAGTGGGGGCCGTGTGCCCTGAGGCCGAGTAGCTGGAGGTGGGAATGGGCTGCCCAGGGGTTGCCATGATGAATCCTGTCTGCTGAGGGTGCTGGGAAATGAGGGATGACTGGAACATCGCCGAGGAAGGATCCGGGGCTTCTGTCGAGCCCTGTCGGCTGAGGCTGATCTGCCCAAAGGGGCTGCTGAGCTCGTCGGCCTGGAGTGGGATAAGGGGAAGGATGGAGGAGGACGGAACGTGGGACAACAGCAGGTAGGACACAGCTCTGCTGGTAAATGCAGACCCCTTCTCTCTGCTCCGGGAGAAGCTCCCCCAAAAAGGCCCCCACACACGAGCCACAGACCCAGAGCGGGACAGGGGGACATGCGAGCTGAGGGGGCCAAATGCTCAGCAGATGTTGGGGACACGTGGGGTCCCACGCAGGCAGGGGTGACTCCAGCCCAGCAGCCACATCCCACGGGGGACACCATTCCCAAAAGATCCCCCTGGAGACAACACAGAGGGCTTGGCTGAGCCCATGGGGCAGCCACAGACCCCAGCACTGAGCACAAGCATTGCTGGGGAGCTCTGGGCTCAGAATTTGCTCTTCCCAGGCTCTTTCCAAGACCACCACTCCAGCAGCGGTGCTCCCACGGCCTCAGGCATCGCAGAGCTCCGTGAATCCCAACCCCCAGGGGGGTCGGTGTCCGGGACATACCTGATCAGCACAAGCTCACACAACACAAACACAGCACAGAGCACAACAGACAGTGCAGAAGAGGAACTGGGGTTTATACCAGGTTGTACTGCTGGGGTGGAGAGACTGGCAAGAGGACTTGGGGGCAGGAGCTTGGAGAGTACGGAACAGGCTGCAGCGCCGGGACCGGCTACGACCAGCGGAGAAGGGAATGGAGAGAGATCCGGGGCAAGGAAAGGGAGGGAAGGAAGGCAGGCAGGAAGGAAAAGGAAGGCAGGCAGGAAGGAAAAGGAAGGAAAAGGAAGGAAAAGGAAGGAAAAGGAAGGAAAAGGAAGGAAAAGGAAGGAAAAGGAAGGAAAAGGAAGGAAAAGGAAGGAGAGAAAGAAGGAACAACAAGGTTAGTCAAGTGAGCCAACTGCAAACACAGAGGGGCGTTGCAGGGGGTTGGGAAGCACAGAAACCATTCCAGGGCAGCATCCATCCCATCAGACACAGCCAGCCAGAGGCTCTGCAGAGCTGGGGAGGCATGACCTGCCCCAAAGCAGCTCTTGCCTGGCAGGAAGAGTGACACGAGTTCACCAGGGCCAGCAGCAGCAGGAGAGCCACATCTCCCAGCACGTGTCTCTCCTGTTTCCAGCATTCCAAGTGCTCCTTGGCCACTCCTGTACACCCACCTTCCACAGGGACCCCTGCTTTGTCACCTGCTTTATGACAGCCCGTCACTAAAACCCACACACTGTGCTTTGGGCACTGACCCAGGGACAGTCAGTGCTGGATGGGGGGTTTGATCCTTTGATTTGACCTTTGGTGACATAGAAGGGACATGGGGATGGTGCATCTCCAGACCCTTCACCATCAAACACCTGAAATCAGTTTTTCCAGGATCTAAACCCTTGGATGAGACAGTCAAAGATACAAACTGAAACCCCAACACAATCCAGTGATCCTGCATGAGATCCCACCCAGGCACTCTGCTATTCCAGCCCCAGGACGACAGCTCATCCCTCAAGTCTCAGAATCCTCCACAAACAGATCCACAACCCTGGAGCCACTCCAGGGCCCAAGAACTACCAGCTCCCCCCTCTCCTGCAGCTGGGAACAGCCAGCAAGCAGCTGCTCCTGTACCTGCAGTAAAAGCTTTTCCAGAAGGTTCTTCCTTTCTCTCAGTGCAGTCTAGTGAAAAAACTGAGAGTCATAGAATGGCCCAGATTAAAAGGAGGAACCTCAGAACACCTGGCCCAACTTTTCATGGGAAAGGGAGCCTTGGTCTGATTATCCAGCAACTTCCCTGCCCTGTTGCATCTTGAACCCCTCCAGTGTAACAACAAAGTGATGCCAAAGGATCCCTGGGCAGGCTGAGATCCAGCACCAACGTGGGACAGGAAGGTGCCATGGATGCCCCCACACCATCACAATTTTCACCCCAAACCCCGCACTGGGATGGCTCCCACCCCATCCCCACTCCTGCAGCAGGACAAGGCTGGGATGAGGTTGGTCACAGCCTCAGGAGCAGAACGAGGACACAGGAATGTCACGGAGGGTTCCAAGCCCTGGAAACAGCCCAGCAGGCTGTGGGACATGGAACATCCCTCAGCTTTAACTCAGGGAGGGACGGTCTGGAGAACACACCCAGCGTTGCTCCAGGCTTGCCTTCCCCCAGGACTACAGCTCAGTCCTGGGGAGCTCAAATCCAACACACATTCAGGATGGTCCTGAGGGGAACTGCTTCCAGACTGCCACTCATCCAAGGGCTACAGCCCCTTTTCCAGGGGGCTGCTGGCCAGCAGAGCTGGGAAGGTGGGATATCCCCCAGAACCACTCAGGAACACCAAAGCCCAACCTTCTCCTGCTCTGCCACAGAGGGACAGCGAGTGTGGGGACCCCCAAAGCCAAGCGTGAGCCCAGAGCACCCCGGGATTGTTCTGGCCCTGCCTCCCCGCTAGCTGTGCCCTGTGGGACTCACCTGGGACATCATGGGGCTGCTCATGGCCGGCTGCTGCTGGGATGGGGGGAGGCCGGGGGCTGCCGGGGGCGGCTGCGGGGGCGGCTGCGGGGCCGTGCAGGGCAGGAGGCCACGGCTGGGCTGCGAGGATGGGGACTGGCTGCAGGCCTCAGGGGCACCTAGCACCAAACCTGGAACAGAGACAGGCATGGAGGGCTGGGATCCAGGAGAAGAGGGGAGGGCAAGGGGGATTCCTGTCACCGCTGGAGCTTCCGTGGGGACAACAGGCACAGTTTGTCTCCGCTCACGGCAAAGCGAGGTGCTGACACTCCAGTGGGTTGTAGCTCCCTGGGTTGTAGCTCCCTCCTCTCCCTGGCCAGGTGCTCACACTGACCCTCCAAAGCTGATCCTGGGATCTTCTCCTCTGCCTCACACAAAGAAGAGGAATCTGGCTGCCAACAGCAGCACCTGCCTGGTGGAGGCTCTTCACCAGGGATCCCAAAAACATCTGCGCCAGCTCAGGGCCATGAGAGTCTGTGGGAAGGAGCTGGAGAGCTGCTCCCAGCCCCACCTGGACACCAACACTGTCATGACCTGCCCAGAGCAGAGGGGAGTGGGGGGATCCCATTCCACAGGCTCACAGAGCCCCTTTTCTGCCAGGAAAAGGCTGGGAGATGGCAGCCAATCCCTTCCCATGGCAGAAAAGGCTGGGAAGGAGCACGATCCACACTGCTGGCACCCAGCTGGGAAGTGTCTCCTCAGTATTCCGGTCTTACTTCCAGAAATAAAAGGGTTGTGCAACTATTGCTCAATGCCCAGTAGCTGCTGTTTAACCAATTCTGCCTCTGATCTCCCACATTTCCACAGCTGATCTCCAGGGATTCTGCTGAGGAGCTCTGACAGCAGCTACACACTGCAAAGGAGGGAATATTCCACTGCCAGCTGCTGGATGGGAAAAGAGCCCCTGAGTCCTAAGCACTTCCACCCCCATGGAATAAACATGAGGATATGGAAGAAGGTGGGCTTGGTGTTTTTTCCCCTCAGGTGATAATTCCTTTGCATTTTTTTTTTTCTCTTTCTCCCAAGATGTTTCTAATCACTTGCCATTACATAAAGCCTGGAAAGCAACTGTTCTGATCCCAGGAGGGACCTGGAGGGAAAATTACAGGAAGAGCCAAAAAGCAGCTTCTCTCTCACTCTGCTCAGCACATGCTGGGACAGATCTTCAAGTGCTCCCAGCACTCCATGAATCAATCCTGGAGGTGGCTGCAACTCCCAGAGTGAGCACAGGGCTGGGGATGGGAACAGGATCCCAGGAGGCACCGTGGGCACCTCTAAACTGGGAGATGAAGGTGTGGTTTCAAAGGCAGGCTGGCAGCTGGAATCCAGCCCTGAAAGGCTTCTTGTTCCTGCCTACAGACACCAATGTGCCTCTCCTGCCCACAAAAGTGACGGTTCCCAAGGGTTTGGGACTGACCAGTGGGAAAACACCAGGTTCTGCCCACTGATACCACACAGCTACCCCACAGCTCCTCAGCTGTGATTAAATGGGAGCAAAACCTGGGCTGCCTCCTCCACAAACACCTTTTGGGTGTATCAGCCAAGGCTGAAAAGAAAGGATTCTGCTCCTCCCTGACTGAGGGGAGGATGTGCCCACCCAGCACACACATCCCTTGGGAAGCTGCTGCCAGAACAGGATCCCTGTGACACCCCAGGGGAACGTCCCGTGCTTTGTGGTACCTGGATGGACAAGGAGGACTGAGCTGAAGCAGCAGAGACATTAAGGATCCCAATTCCCTTTGGCTTCAGCCAAATTCCCCTTGGCTGCCAGCAGCTCTGGAGCTCAAGCCTGCTGTTTACTCCCAGCACTTCAGTGAATCACTGAGAGAACATCACAGGCAGATCCCAATTAGAGAGTCCTTGACAAGGTAACTGCATGTCTGATGAGACTAATGGGTGACACTTTTCCTGGCCCTCCTCCTTGGAAAGCAAGACAATGCCAGGAGGTTCATCCTGAGGATCCTCAGGGTGGGGAGAGATTTTGGGAGCAGAAGGGAATGGCAACGCAACTTGAGAAGACAGAAAACAACGCAAACTGGGAGTTTGAGCTGCAGGGGCTGGGAGCAAACTCTGGCCTCAGGTAACTCTGCTGAAGGGATGGGAGAGGTGATGGTGAGTTCTGAAGAAGTGGGTGATGAACCAGGTGACACAACCAGATGGCACATCCACGCCAGGGTACCAAAATTCTGGTGCCACCCATGTCCTGTTTTAACCAGAGCAACACAAGCCCCATCTCCCCAACCCAAAACCATCTGCCAGG